TTCTCTACTAAAAATACAAAAATTAGCTGGGCGTGGTGGCGGGCGCCTGTAGCCCCAGGTACTTGGGAAGCTGAGGCAGGAGAATCGCTTGAACCCAGGAGGCAGAGGTTGTAGTGAGCTGAGATCAGCGCCACTGTACTCCAGCCTGGGTGACAGAGAGAGACTCCATCTCAAAAAAAAAAAAAAATTATAATTATAAGTCTGTTTTGAGGTGGTAACAACTTAACTTCAATCACATACAAAAACTCTACTCTTTTAATTCTCTCTCACCACACTATGTTATTGATGTCACAATTTACATCTATTTATATTGTGTATCCACAAACATATTTTAAATTATAGTTATTTTAATACTTTTGTCTTTTAACTTTTATGCTAGAATTAAATGGAATTTAACCACCACCATTTTAGTAATATAGTAGTCAGTATTTGTATATACACTTATCTTTATCAATGAGTTTCATATTTTCTTATGCTATGTTGTTGCATTTAACAATAAAGATGTATAGAGTATTTCCTTATAATTAAAAGGAAACCTTTTTCTTCTGTTATGGTCTTTCTATATGTTGCTGTCTCTACCAAGAATGTTCTTTTTTTGGCTGTTTTGACTTTTAGGTCTCAATTTAAATGTCATTCCTTCCATGGCCTTTCAATCTAAGGTAGTTTCAACCTTATTCTTTCATAGTGCCCTTTTCTTTTCCTTAATGATATTTATCACAATTTAAATTATATATTTATGAATTTACTCATTTTATGTCTGTCATTCTCATTAGACCAAAGGCTCCACGACAGCAATTTATTTTGTTCATTACCATACACCAGTGGCTAATACAATGCTTGGTGCATACTTGAAAATGAATGCTTTCCCAAAAACATATTTTTTATTCTAGGCAAGAGCCTACAGAGGTTTTATGTTGTCTAAAAGAATATGTGGACTTCTTAGGACTAATCTAAGGCCTTCCTTTCACTTTGTCTCCACATCTATCATTCATTCCTGTTCAGCTAGCCAGGCAGTCAAACCACTCATCTCTTTAATCCTATGTATGTGTCTCTGCCGTGTTGTTCCTTCTCACCCCTTCCCTTGATATTAATTTCTGACCAAAGCATCCATGAAAGACAAACCTCACACTCATATCTTCTAAGAATCCTTCCCTGATTCCAGACAATACTACTCTCATAGCTCCCTTGCTCTATGTTCCCAAAGCACTTATGTATAATCTGTCCTACAAGAACTGTGAATTTGAGTAAATAATGCCTTGTCATTGTTGACAGTTTTATAAGCTGGTTAACCATTTGGAGAATATGACTACAATTGAATATGGGGAGTGAGAAATTCAGAAAGCTGATTGATTATTTAGTGAATTGGTTATTATGTGAATTTACCTGTAGCCAAGAAGGAAGATTGGGAACAATCATAAAGGGCCTAGAAGATATGATAAAGAGTTCAGATTGTATTGAGTATATTAAGAAGCCATTGGAAGATTTTGAGAGAACAGCAGCATGATCTGACTTATGCCTTTTAAAAAATCCCTGGCTGGTCTGTGAAGATGTATTGTGGTGGGACAAGATTGGAAATAGAAGAAAAGAGGCTTTTGGTGAGAACCGATGGGAGATATGAGGCAAGAGGGAAAGAATCAAGGATGATTCTTGGGTTTTTGGCTTGAATGGTGTTGCCATTTGTTCAACTGAGGAAGAATTGGAAGGAGCCAATTTTGGCAGGAATCCAGGAATGAGTTTTTAGACAAGTTAAGTTTGAGATGCCTATTAGATATCCAAGTGAAGATGTTGAGTAGGCAGTTGAATGTGAGTCTAAAGATCAGGGCTGGAAATACAAATTTGAGAGCAATCAGGATATTTATTGATAGTATCTATAGCTATGGGTCTGGCAGGGCAGTAAGGGTAGACCCAGAAGTGATGAGGCAAAGGGCTGAGGCTAGGGCAATTCAATATTCAGAGGACTGGAAGAAGAGATGCTAACATCAAGTCAGCAAGTATTGTAACTTCTACTTCTTTTGTATTGAAGAAGAGTGTCTGCTTCAATGCTGAGCTCACAGTAAGTGTTCAAAAAATTTCCCAGTGAAATGAACAAATAAATTTCTGGAAAAATAAGTAGGTAAATTGTCATACCACATACCTCTTCTATTTTCATGCCAGAGCTTAAAATTGTTTTTGTTTTTGTTTTTTGGGGTTTTTTTTTTTGTGTATGTGTTTTTTTTTGCCACAGTCTCAGTCACATACTACAATGGAAAGTTCCACACCTGGCAAGTACCTACTGGTAGTTGTGTGTGTGTGTGTGTGTGTGTGTGTGTGTGAACACATTATACATTACATGTTTTGGCCAGGCACAGTGGCTCACGTCTGTAATCCCAGCACTTTGGGAGGCAGAGGTGGGCAGATCACGAGGTCAAGAGATTGAGACCATATTCGCCAACATGGTAAAACCCCGACTCTACTAAAAACACAAATATTAGCTTAGAGTGGTGTCATGCGCCTGTAGTCCCAGCTACTCAGGAGGCTGAGGCAGGAGAATCACTTGAACCGCAAAGGCAGAAGTTACAGTGAGCTGAGATTGCACCACTGCACTCCAGCCTGGGCGACGGAGCCAGACTCCTCTCAAATAAATAAAATAAAATAAACCACATGTTTTAAATGCAGAATTCTGTTCTTCCTGTACTTAAGTACAGATAAATAGCTTTAACTATTATTTAGCAAATGGAAAAATTTCTGACCCAGTGTGTTCCTGGGATACATTGGTGGTTGTTTTCATTAAAGGACACCAAACTTAATCGTTGGCAATCCATCAAAACCATATATGTTCAAGTGGTAACAAGAGTGAAATGATTTTGGCCAATTTGAAGCAAATTGGTCTTTTTTTTCTTTTTCGGTTGAGGTACATGTACTTAAAATTCCTCCTGGAGTACACCCAAATTACAAAAGAAAACAAAGTTACATACTAAAAATTAGAAAGAGTGAGCAAGAGAAGCTTAGGTAGTTATCCACTGTTTTCTTAAATTCGATGTTATGTAATTAACATGGTTCCAAATGTATGATACCATTTATATCCTAATAGTGTTGTAAGTTTTAATAGATCATTGCAGAGGATACACGATTATGAGCAAGACATTTCCAACTAAACAATAAATCATTGCTACCGTCCTTTGGTAGGGAATTGCAAATTTTGATTCTGTCTGAGGGCATTCAGCACAAGCAAGCCTTTGAATGGCTGGAGTTAAATGCAGACTTAAAAAGAAAAATTATCTCATTTAATTTCCAAAACTAACAGGACCATGTAGTTTAAGTGTTCAGACATTTATGGTGCAAATGCTCATACAGGCAGCTGATGTCAGTTCTGGGAACTGGTATTAAGAGCAGTGGCGTGAAACAGAGTTGATGAATTAGACAGAAAAGACAGTCCATTTTCAGATTGCTTTCAAAAAAGCAGCAAGAGAGAAGCAAAGCTGCAAAAGCAAATGAAAACTCCAGCCCAGAACTTGGCATTTGAAATATCAAAATTATAGTTGGGAGAGATTAAAATTGCTGCCCAGTCTGTGATGTTTTCCATTCATCTTTCTTGGAGGATGAAAATCACTGTTTTTTTAAAGTTCTCTTTTTTTCTTATTAACTGCCTTAGAAGATGTTTTGGTTAGAATGACTGAGTCGTTAGTGAATGTTTTTGTTAGAAGGACTGAGTCCTGAAGTGAAATTTCCCAAAATATGTATTAAAGAACAGAAGTAGTATTAAAAAGTGAATAAGCTGCTTAAAGATTCTTAAAACAGACATACCATCTTAAATATCTAAGATAACTTAATCCATAGAAAAACATAATCCACATCCTCCCTAAAAGTGATCAGGCTCTGAGAGCATGCCAGAAGATGATATTAATATTCAGTCTCACATCATTCTCCTTCTTTTCCTGGACACAGTAAATCATCATCACTGGAGAAAAGGACCAGCATTTGGGAGAGCTTCTCAAAGCCTGTGTAACTAAGTTAAGGAATTTTAAAGAGGAATTTTTCTAAGTCTCAGAGGGAAAAAGTGTTCTCTTTATATTAGCAGTACAGACACTGTTGTGTTCCAAGAGTGGACACCAAGGATGAATTCAATGAATTCCCTCTCTGTGTCACACATTTGTACCAGTTTCTTTTCAGGAATCAGGATTTTTAAAAGCAAAAAACATTGGCTTTCTTAGATGTTGCAGTTAACTTCATGTAGTATAGATAATACAGCTGCTGCATTTAAAACAATCTTATATACTTCATCATCCTCACATAGTTCTGAGGACTGGGATAAGTCCTGTTGTGTGGGACAACATTCAGAGTGAATTTGGGCATTCAATAAATGACAGTGAAGAATCTGCCTCTTTTTAAACCTATAATGAAATGACATTCCTCGTCAAGAAATATACATTTTCTGTTCTCTTTTAATCTGATTATTTGCCTTTCTACTAGGAAGCATTATATTTTTCAAAGTGCCTGCACCATCTCCTCAGAGGATCTCTGTCTGTTTCTTCTGACTCAACACATACATACATTTCTGCTCTAATCTACAGTAATAGTTTGGAGTAAAACAACTGACATGTTTTTTTAAAGAAAAAATTACATACCTTTTTCTTCTTTCCTTTTGGTCTTCTTGGCAGAGGATGCTTCTTAAATGCTCACACTCACTGGGTGAGTTTGAGCAAAAGGAGAAGAGAGGAGGTGCTGGAAGGAGCTTCTTTACAAATGAACCTTTGTCTGCCTTCTCTCTGGCCTGGGATCGACAGACTCGCTGCTTCAGCCAGGACTGCGGGGAGGAGGGGAGTGGAAGGAGAGGAGGCTGCAAGAACTGCTTCCTTTGGCAGTGTTCATTTCGTTCCAAACCAGGCGAGGATGAACTGAACAGCTTCTTTACACAGGGAAATAACTACTCTATACAAGAACCTCAGGGAGGCAGACTCTGGTAGCAATAAAACATAAAACCTGAGGTATTTTTAAAAGAACACAGAGTGATTTTTCCCTTAAGAAAAGTGTGTGTGTGTGTGTGTGTGTGTGTGTGTGAGAGAGAGAGAGAGAAAGAGAGAGAAGAGGAAAGTGGGGAATTGCTAGCTGTGCACCTCTTCCCCTTCCACAGTTTTCCTAGCCATCTAGATATCTTACAAATTTTTGGCAGAAGATATGTTCCAATTCACATTCCACCCCTTCCATTTCTCACCCAAAGAGTCATTACGAGTGAATGGTAAGCTAAAATGATGACTAAAAAAGAAATGTATTCTGTGTCTTAGAAATAAAGGCACAAAAGATATTTTATTCTGTTTTCAGCAAACTATACTGGAATTCTAACATCTGTTAACTGTCTTTTAGGTTTTTAAAAAATTCGATTAGGAGTGGTGTTCTGGGAATTAGAGAGATTATATTGTAATGAAGTTGGAATTATCTAGACAGACAATTGAGGAAAGGGCATTCCAGGTTGAATTACAAAGGCATGAAGGTGAAAGAGAGGGTGATGCCTTTGGAGATTATAGGTAGTTTCATTTGGCTAAAACCAAAGATGGTAGGAGATGAAATTTGAGAGATAAGAAGCAGCAAATTGGTGAAGTACCTCATATGCCATGCTAAAAAAAAATTGGATTTTATCCTGAAGATGAATGGAAAGATGATGAAAACATATTAAAAAGGATGAAAAGCCTGACTGCAGTGTGAAACAAGGATGGTTTCCTGGGAGGAAAGGAGACTAAAGACAGAGAATACCGGCTGTTGCTGTAGTCCAGAAGAGAAGATAGGAAGGAAAACTGAAAATACTTGATGATCAATTAAGTGTTTATGTTTAGCATAGAGATAGGAAACTTTATTAACTTTCAAAGGCTTGGGTCTTTGGACGATGGTGCTGTTAATCATCTAGAAAAAGAATATAAAAGGAAGAGCTGTTACTCATCTAGGAAAAAGAATACAAAAGTTATGGCTGGAGGAGTGGGAAAACAGAAATGAATTAGTTGGTGAATGTTGAGTTTAAGGAACCCTAAATACAATTGAGAATGTTTAGTAGGCAGTTGATTAAATAGACCTGGAGCTTAGGAAAAAGCCTGGTCTAGAGAATTAGTTCATCAACCAATCAACTCAATATCAAATAATCTCAACTAAATAACTAATAGAGTTATTCAACTAAATGATAGCTGAAGTCATGGTTGTACCACTAAGAAGTTACTGTGGTCTTACTGTGTGCCAGGCATTTCACACATCTGAACTCGTTCACTCTCCTTCCAACCCTATGAAGTAGGTACTATTATTAGTCCCATTTTATAAATGGGGGAAACATCAGAGATGCCAGGTAACCTGCCCCAAATCACACACACAGCCAGAAAATGGCGAGACCCTGGCAGAGTATTTCTAGTGTCTTTGTTTCTCACCATTATGCTGTACTGCCCCTTAGAATAGATTATAGAGTTCATGATAGGACTGAGAGCAGAATCATTTAAGGGTTGGGTTGAGAACTGGGAAGGAAACTGACAAGAGGTAGGCAAAGAAGTAGGGGAAAAATTAGGAGAGTGTCATCATGGAAGTTAAAGGAAGAGTATTTCAAGAGAATGGAGGTGAGTGGAAGGCTGCTGATGACAGCAGTGTTGGAAGAACCACACATGCATACCCTGATATGAAGGTAGGCAGAGCAAAGTGAAGGTCAATACAACCAGAAGCAGTTCCAGCCCTGACAGAGGTCAAATCTCTGCTTGGTCTCTATTTCACTGAAGTTGTAGCAAGTGGCATGGACTTCAGGAAGGGAGATGAGAGGTGTGTACGCAATGGACTGCACATTTCCTTTGCATATTTATAAACAAGTCTGCTGTGAGTCTTACTAAATAAAGATGATGCCATACACAGATGGAGTTAATTTGTTTGCATGATTTAAATGTATAGAAATATATAAATATGAGGAGGAAAATGGAAACTAGCCTTTATTCCACTTTAAGAGCTATCTGTCCTGTTTACCTTAGGTAGATCTAAACCAGAGGTATGGTGCCAAGGCAAACCATCATTCCCTGTAGATGGATCCTCTCTTTACTCTGTTTTACTCTTATTTCCCTGTGTGTCTAATTCTGTCTAAATTTCCCTTATTGTGTTGCTCATTTTTTCTCCTTGTTTCTGAATTCATAGCTGCTCAAAATAGTTGATTCATTTTTATATTCAGCAACACTGAGATCCATACAATATGCTTGGCGTTGTGCTTATGCATGCTGGCTGTAAGTGGCACACAGCAGCTCTTGGTAATTATCTAATTGTCTCTGAATCATGTTCTGAGCCACTTAGGAAAGTTTTCCCCTAAGAAGCACATTTCGACCCTGGCCTCCAAATCCCTTGTGTTTTCAAACATGTGTTTATTACTAGCTGGACTTCCTATCATTTCCAGGAAGAATTATTAAACATTATCGAACTTATAATTGCTTGTCATTCATCCTGATGTCCATTACATGGAGTTGTCCATTTGAGAAGGAGTTGAATTGCAAACCAAGGCCTGCAATCACAGAGTCTGCCTTTGTGGCTTTTAATTTGTGGCCCAAATCTGAAACCACTCTTAGTTTTCCTGTACGTGGAGCCTTAAGGCCTTTTTGTTTTCTTTCCTGATGGGCTGTTACTCAGACTGCTTATCGAACCCGCTTTATGTAGCTTTGAAGACCACCCTGTTTCTTTGAGACGGCCTCAGGAGCCTCCCAAAGTAAACCTTTTATGTGACATAGAGCTTCTATTTTAAGTAAAACCATACAAATGTAATGTACACATTTCCAGAAAGTAAGTCCAGCTATGTATTTTTATGTGATGATGATGGTGGTGGTGAGGATGATGATGATGATGATGTGTGTGTTTATTTCTAAAGGTATATGGTGTCACTCTTAGGTGCAATCAGGTTTGTTAGAAATAGAAAATCCTCACAAATTAGTGATAAGACCGATTCATGAGTAGAGAAACATTTTATACAGAATTTAAGCAATTACAAAGTACTGAAATTAAATTTGTAAAGGGATCTAATTAGTATTTAAAAAAAAAAAAACTCCCAAAATTGAAAAATAAAGAAAAACACCAAAAACAGCCAAATCCTTCCAATCAGATGAAGTCTCAAGAGATGTCTCAGATACAAATAATTTCAGATATCAGACATCTTAAGCTTGTGAGAAAAAAAAAAAAAAGGAACGTGTGTTAGTTCTTCCTCTGATGTCCACCTGGGAGCTCATGCATTCGCCCTAATTTAGAATCTGCTGCTCCTCTGTTCCATGATTGACCCCTTTCTCTCATTTCCCTCAGGCTTGACTCCTTCGGGGCTCATCAAGGCTGGCAGTATGGGGAGAAGCAGCAGCTGGTTTCAGCCTTCACAGCTCACATCTTCCCAGGACAGAGGTAGGACTTGTTTTATGTGAGTATCCTTGACAAAAGGGGCCTCAAAATAATTGCACTTATTGAAAACTAACTGGCAATATGCTTGTTGAAATAGTGATGAACTGAAGACAAAATTACCTCTTAAAACTACCTTTAAAATCTTTCATCAGTTAAAAAGAAACAAGCTATTTTACTAACTTAACTATGTTTGAACTCAGTAAAAGAGTTTCCTCTTCGATTAAAACTATTTAAAGTTTCCCTTAAGATATCCACTGAACCTGGGACGTTTATGCTTAGAATGGTTTTTGCAAGTGGGTTGAATAACATAACCTCTATTACCCAAACTTAGCTTTGTGTTGCTGAAGTGAGACTCAGGAAAACAGATTCTACTGAGGAATCATCAGTGAGGCCCTTGAAGAGACAGCAGAATCACCAAATAGCTGTTGTGTAAGAGGATGAGCTGATGCTACCTCCCCTGCAGGGAGAGAAATGCTTCCATGAAGGCATTCATATTGGAATGCAGTTTCGATGGTATGATGTACTTGGGAATGGCTAGGATTCCCAGATGGGCAACCCTGGCTATAATGGGGATAGCCAGGAGAGTCTTCTTGATCAAATGCTTTTAGTCAGAATATCAAACACAAGCTCTCTTTCACCTGGGCATAGAAAGTAAGGCAGCCCCCTTCCCCTGTGCCGCCCCGGGAGTGCTGGGCTTTTTAAAATAATTGATACACAGAGATTGTAAGGTTACTCATGTAACCATGAGTAACATGATTTTAAATACTGCAGAAATAAAGTCAGAAAAATGAACATCAGGAGAGACCTGTGTCCAAGAAAACTATCCACTTTTAGGAGCCCATGGAATAGTTAGAATGAATGGTAATGTTAATATGAAAATAAACTTTGGCAGGAAAAGTGGCCAAGAAGGAAAGGAACATGTAAATAACCTTTTTAGTTTCCTGGCAGTCTCTGAGGGGCATTGGACTGGTCCATGGAATCACAGCCCAGACTCCAGCAATAATTTTATGATTTGTTGGAGACAACCTACTCACTTACCAAACCTAGAAAGATGGAAAGATTGACTAAGTGTGTCAATGTGTATTCTTTTGTAGGTCCTGAGTTATTGCCCTAATCTTCTCGAAGTTGTTTCACAGAGACAAGCATCTGGTGAGTTCATAATGTTAATGATAATAGCAATGATACTAGTAATAATAATGCTATTAACTGCATTGCCAAGTGTACTAAACATTTTACAAATGTTGTCTTATTTAGTACACGCAACTTACTTACATGAGGTAGTTTCCAGACAGGAGAACTGGGGTTCAAAAAAATTAAGCACTTGGCCAAGATCACACAGTTGATAAGTAGTGGAGCACAAACTGGAAACCAAGACAAAACTGTGCTCTTAGCCTGCTGCCACAATAAAAAATAAAAAAAAAAAAAAAAAAAAAGAGAGAGAAATTAGAGAACCTAAAATAACAGTACCTTTTTAAAAAATTGTAGCCCATAATTTGAGTGTGCATGAATCACACCTGCTCTCTGTGAGCCACAGAGTCCTCTCTCTTTTACTGTGTTTCCTCCATCCATCTTCTGTTCATATTTGACTTGAAACAGTTCTTACGTGGACAGTCAGAAACTTAAATCAGCTGAATGGTGTTTTCTACAAAGTTAGATATGGAAAGTTGCCAAAATATCAGTCCTTGGGACAGAGGTTTTAAGTGACTATAATTCTAGGAGTAAAATCAGTCACTCAGTAAATATTTGTTAAATGAATGAATGAGTCAATGAATAAATGAGTGAGGGGATTAGGTTCTTAGGAGAGGAGAGGTTCTTGGGGAGTAATTATTCATAATTATTTATTGTGTGTCTGCTGTGTACCATGAATGATGTTGCAGTGTCGCTGAAGGCGAAGCTCAGCAACTGATCACCACTCCTTCCTCAAGGTCCTCTCCAAAGCACAAGCTACTTTGCCAGCCTGGCTACTGAGTCCTACTGTAAACCCTCAGTCTTCTCCCTTGTAAAATAAGGGGTTTAATTGATTGTTTTTATTGCTCCTTCTACTTACCATTTTTCTATGAGTATATGCTTCTAAATATCATTTTTAAACATACATTTTTATTTTAGAATAGTTTTTGATTTACAGAAAAATTGTTAGCTTAATACAGAAACTTCCTATATACCCTATACCCAGTTTCCTCTATTATTTAACTCTTACATTAGTGTGGTCCATTTTTTATAATTAATAAATCTACATCAATACATTATTATTAACTAAAGTTCATGCTTTATTTATTTTTAGTTAGTTTTTACCTTTTTCTGTTGCAGGATCCACATTACATTTAGTTGTAGTGTCTCTTCAGGCTCCTCGGTGTCTCCGACTTTCCCTGTTTTTGATAACTTTGATTGTTTTGAGGAATACTGGTGAAGTATTTTGTAGAATGTCTCTTAGATCTTTCTAATCTTGGTCTTATGATTAAACTTGGGTTATGTGTTTGTAGAAAGAGGACCACAAATTTAAAGTGCCGTTTCCATCACGTCATATCACACATGGACAAAAATGTCAGGAACATGACTTAATCACTATTGATTTAACTTCAATCACCTGGCTCAAGTCGTTTTCGTTATGTGGCTCCACTGCACATTTACTCTTTTTCTCCCCCTTTCCACAGTACACTCTATGGAGGGAAGTCCCTATGCATGGTCCATATGTAAGGAGTGGGGAGTTATACTCTACCCCTTTGAGGGCAGAGTAACTACATACATTTTTGGGAATTTTTCTTCACATGAAATTTGTCCATTGTTGCTTATTTATTTACTTGTATTAGGATGAACTCATGTATATTTATTCTATACTTTGGATTATTTTATACTTTGGATTAAAATATTCCTTGCTCAAACTGTCGCAGCTTTTGCCTTTAGGGGCTCCTTTCGTTGCCTCTTGTGTCTCTATGGCATGCCCCATCAAGGGCGTGGTTTTTGTTTTTGAGTACTTTCTTCCTTTCTGGCACTAAAAGATTGCTCCAGGCTCATCTTGTGTATTTCCTGTCCCGGTACTATAATCAGCCATTTCTCCAAGGAGCCCTAGTTCCTTTCATTGAAGAATAAATTAGAAACCAAGATCAGGGAGCTAGGTGTGCTCATTTGTACTGGTGTGTCATAGCTTCTCATTCCTCTCAGCTGACAGAGCAAGGAAGTATACTGTGTATACCAACCTGTGTAAATACACGTATCTATAAATATTGCTATGCATAACCGTCTGTATCTATTACAACCTAAACATGAGTTTATACTGATAGCTCCAACTCTAATCCATTACTACATGAATCATTTGAGCCTCCTCCTCTTGCTCATCTGTAACCTCCTGCTCCAGCAGTGGGAACCTAACTCCTACCATCAGCCACTTATTTAATCGTTCATTTCCAGTATACACATATAGCAGCATCAGAATTGTTAACACATACCTCATGGTAAACAATTTTATCAACTGGAATACAGTGTTTATATACAGCGTCTTTTACCTTTAGTTTGATAGACTCCACTCATTCCCAGAGTTACATAGGTCTGCAACTTCCCCCTCACTACACCTTTCAGTGAGGTTGTTTCATATATGAGTAATAAAGTTAGATTGTTTTGTCACATTCTGTTTTCATCCTGGGATTGTCCAACCTCCTAAATAATTGTTCATAATTTGCATGCATTAAGGTTCAGTCTTTGTGCTGAAAAGGTCTATGGGTTTTGACAAGTGCATAGTTTCTTGTACATACCATTACATTGTGACACAGAATAGTCTCTCTGCCCTAAAATATCTCCTGTGCTTTACCTATTAAAACCTCCCCTCCCTCCTACCCTGAACTCCTGGTAGCCATTGATCTCTTAACCATCTCTATAGTTTTACTCCTTCTAGAATGTCATATAATTGGAATCATATAGTATGTAGCCATTACATACTGGCTTTTTTCACTCAACAATACACATTTAAGATTCATCTATGTATTTTCATGGCTTGATAATTTATTTTTACCACTGAATAATATTTCATTGTATAGATATACTAGTTTGTTTATACTTTCACTTGTTGGAGGACATCTTGGTTGCTTACAGTTTTTGGAAATTAAGAACAGAAGTGCGCTCTGGGCATAGAGGCTCATGCCTGTAATCTCAGCACTTTGGGAGAACGAGATGGGCAGATCATCTGAGGTCAGGAGTTTGAGACCAGCCTGGCCAACATGGTGAAACCCTGTCTCTACTAAAAATACAAAAATTAGCCAGGCATGGTGGTACATGCCTGTGACCCCAGCTTCTCAGGAGGCTGAGACAGGAGAATTGTTTGAACTTGGGAGGTGGAGGTTGCAGTGAGCTGAGATCGTGCCACTGTACTCCAGCCTGGGCGACAGAGCGAGATCCATCTCAAAAAAAAGAATAGAGGTGCTGGGGCTGGACACAGTGGTTCACACTTGTAATCCCAGCACTTTAGGAGGCCGGGGTGGGCAGGTCACCTGAGGTCAGGAGATTGAGACCAGCCTGACCAACATGGTGAAACCTCATCTCTACTAAAAATACAAAAAAAAAAAAAAAAAAAAAAAAAAAATTAGTCGGGCATGTTGGCAGGCACCCTGTAGTCCCAGCTACTGGAGAGGCTGAGGCAGGAGAATCACTTGAACTTGGGAGGCGGAGGTTGCAGTGAGCCGAGATAGCACCACTGCACTCCAGCCTGGGCAACAGAGTGAGATTTCGTCAAAAAAAAAAAAAAAAAAAAGAATAGGGGTGCTATAAATATTTGTATGCAGGTTTTGTGTGTACATAAGTTTTCAATATCTTTTTAACATTTATTTTTCAGGTCAATTAAAATCATAATTTGTAATAATCTAGCCTTTATATGGCTTCTCAAATATAGCTACCTTAAAAATAATAAACACATTCATATAATAAATCCATCCAGAATCAGATACTATTTTATATAAAAGTGTGAACAATGAACCTGCAATTATTTTGTGGAATAAAATAACTTTAGGACAGTTTAGAAGTATTTCATTTAACATTCTTTGAAATTTGAGCAGATCTGTGGTCTGTGGAAGTTCTTTTACATTGCAAACAAAGAAATTTATAGGTGTTAAATTTGCTACAAAATTGTTCCTTTATTGATCCTTTACTAATAAGACATATTAAAATTATGTATTTGGAAATCTAAATAGAAGCATTTTCAAATTGAAATAATAAATACCACACCGTATTAGATAACTAAAACTTGCTCCCTTTATCAGACAGGACACATGAAATGACAGGAAATAGGCAACGATGATATTTTCTCTGGATATTTAATCTCTAAACACATGAACTATATTACATACAGTATAATCCTGTTGAAATACAACTTGTTATTCCAGAGGATTGGGTATGTGTTAGACAGTCACCTATGTCCACTGAAAGCTTAAAGCATAGTAACAATTCTACAAAAAAAAACCACACCTTTCTATAACACTGTCTTCTATCAAATGACAATTTGATCAAATTAATCTTTGCCTTTAATACTAATATTCTAAATAAGCCTCCTCCTTTGGGGATGAATTAACAAAAATTGCCCCCGGATTGTTACCACCTTACAGAATTTTTACTATGCTTCCTCACTCTATGTTAGTGACTTGTGTTGATTGGTCCAGGATGGCTCAAGTGTAAATATCTTGACATCAGAAAGATTTAACAATTTTAAGTGATTTATTGTGTGTCTTAAGCTATCTCATGTCTATGATTTATTTTATGTCTGAAGTTACTTCATGTAAAATATTTGAGAAAATAGAGAAGGAGAAGTATCAGTGAGAATTAAGGGTTTAAGAATATCACACAATTTCAATGTCTTTCCCCTCCCCATAGAAATTTTGACCATTTTAGTGTCGGAAAATTAATGAGTCTGCCAGGCGCAGTGGCTCACGCCTGTAATCCCAGCACTTTGGGAGGCTGAGGCGGGCGGACCACGAGGTCAGGAGATCGAGACTATCCTGGCTAACACGGTGAAACCCCGTCTCTACTAAAAATACAAAAAATTAGCCGGGCGCGGTTGCGGGCGCCTGTGGTCCCAGCTACTCCGGAGGCTGAGGCAGGAGAATGGCGGGAACCCGGAAGGCGGAGCTTGCAGTGAGCCGAGTTCGCGCCACTGCATCCAGCGTCTCAAAAGAAAAAAAAAAAAAGAAAGAAAGAAAAAGAACATTAATGAGTCTAAAGCTGTCTCAGAAAATGATGGGATTTTCTTTCCTGACCTAAAAGGTTCTGAGATTTCTCCATTAGAATCCTGCCTCACTGAGAGGTGAGGACTTTTTAACCAATAAGCCTGGAGGTTTTAGGGCTTTAGTTTAGCATAAGGAATTCAGGAGAGAATCCCTGGGAATGTGATTCTCCCTGAAGCAAATCACATGTTATGATGCATTAGATGGGAGCTTCTGTGGTAGACCATGTCCCTTTTAACATTATAACAGGGGAAATCTTTCTTCTACCTCTTTTTTCATACCCCTTCCCTATGTGACAGTGGGCCCTTTAGCTGCTTCCAAGGGCATGCTTTGCTGCCTCTCCTGTTCTAGGATCTCTTTCTGTCCTTTGCTTTTCATCTTTCTCTCTCTTTCTCCATCTCTCTTCCTATCCTTTTGCTTCCATGAAACTATCTGTGCTATGCTCTGTATCCTTCCAGGTTGTGACTCATGCCCCATTTGAAGCTGGAGAAGCAGCAAGATAGACTAAGACATGAATTCCCTGGATCTTCTTCATTGGTTCCCTGATACTGGTTTTTTTTTTTTTTTTTTTTTTTTGAGACAGAGTCTCGCCCTGTCACCCAGGCTGGAGTGCAATGGCGCAATCTCAGCTCACTGCAACCTCTGCCTCCCAGGCTCAAGTGATTCTCCTGCCTCAGCCTCCCAAGTAGCTGCGATTACAGGCATGTGCGACTATGCCCAGCTAATGTTTGTATTTCTAGTAGAGACAGGGTTTCACCATGTTGCCCAGGCTGGTCTTGAACTCCGGACCTCAAATGATTCATCTGCCTCGGCCTCCCAAAGTGCTGGGATTACAGATGTGAGCCACTGCGTTTGGCCTCCCTGCATACTCTTAAGTATGCCAATATTAAGTGAGTGGATATACATGTCTCTGGAAAAAGAACATTCTGTGGTCTTACAATGGTTGTTCTTTTCAGTATCCTCCTGACATGGCAAAATAAACTTACTGAGTGCCAAAGATCCTCCAGGAGGAAAGGGATGAAGACCTGGGCTAGGGATCTCCATCCCATTTGAGATTCAACCTAGGTAAAACTTTCTAAAGGGCTAAGATAGCCCTGACCAAGGTCTCCCAAGAAGAGAGAGTCTGGCTCAGTGACAGGTTCAACTGAGCCTCGAGGTTTGTGGGGACAGCTTGTTCTAGATCCTGTGTGTAGCTGTGGTTAGAAGCCCAATTATACCCAGCCACTTTGGCAAAGCTGTCGTGTTTAAGGAACAGTGGCTGATTGTGTGAGTGTAAATCCAATAAAGTGTTGCCTTGGGAGTCCATATGCACAGTGCTACCCTGCTGCCTGCGCAGTGTTCCATAGCAGCAAGGCCAAGCAAGACAAGGACTCACTGAAGCCTGATGGAACCAGTTTTCAACAGTGACATTGTATAGAAGTGATGTTTAAAACCAGAACCTGTTAATGGACTGGTCACATGGACTTCTGAAAGAAGACTACTACCTTTGGATTAAGTTAATTCCCAGGTTTCTGTACAACAGAGAGAATGAAGGTTCCTTAAGAAAGAGAAACCAAATTACCTACTATATGGAGGAATGGAGGCTTAAGCAAGGAATTGGAAAAATAAAGAGAGATGCCCAAATTTTTCGTCCTAAACTGATACAGATCCATACAGATTATATTTAATATGCTAATTCATTGTGAATCTCTAAGAGCTGAAGGATTTGCTAAATTTGTTTGACTACTGAACTTTTTAAAAACTCAATATATCTCAAGAGACTGGATTCCAAGGAACACTTGTTATAATAGAAAATGATTCTCCAGTGACAGAATTTTAGATACTAGGTCATGACAAAGGAGCAGCACATGGGGAGCAGAGGCCCTTTCCTGGCACCCACCCATATAGTTGTTTGACTGTCTCAGCGTAGACTAGTTCCATGGTTCTGTGCTGTTAATCGTGTTGCTCTAGTGACTCTAACCCAAGGAGGGCAGAGTGTGCAGTGAGACAGAGCTGAGATAGGATTCCAACTTTCTCCTTAGCTCCATCTATCATTATTAGCCTTTGAATAATGCCCACCACCTGCAATTGCTCGTTGGCTACATGAGAGCAGGGATTTCCTGTTTTATTGTCTTATGCATCCTCAGTGTCTAGAACTGTGCCAGACACCATTTAAGTATTCAATAACTATTTGTCAAATGAATGGACTTCTGATCTAACACTGTCCTGGCAAAGACACTAAAAGCCTAACTTAACCATTTCTTTTGTACAGTTTGTACCTTGTGGCTACAGAGATTCAGGAAGTATAAGAACAGTGATGACTTGGAACTACTGACTAGGTTTGGTGGGCCCAGTCCTCAGCAGCAAACAGTAAATAATGCTTTATTTGTAAATCAAGTAAAACTTATCTTTTCCCAGGTTGGATCAACCCAGAATTGAGGTCAGGGGTACAGCCATCTCAAACCACATCAGCTGAATCACCATCTCCCTAGTTCCACATTGCTCAATCTGAGGACAAATTGCAACATATTTAGCAACCTATATGGTGGCATATGTTTTATAAATAAATGTATTTCTATAAATCTGTATATAAATAAAAATTAAAAATATTTCCTTTTTATTCTTTAAACTAAACTATGTATCACGAAACTGTTTATAGTGTAATGTAGCTTACAAGGCAACATTTTCATCAAATCATTCTAATAATTTTTAAATCATTATCGATTTTTAGAAATTACTGGTATGGTCTTATGTTTGGTAAGCTCTCACTAAACTAAATGCTGCTTGTCTCTAAGCTATAGTTGTACGGAGGAAACTGTACTAAATGCGTCCAGTGGCTTCTCCTTGTGTAGATGGTTATCAGGTGTGGGCCCGGGCACGTGCCTCAGCAGGAGAGCGATTGGGTGGGGTGCCCATCGTATTTAGAATGCTAATGTTTCTCACGTCATCTGTACCCAGAGAACTTTTGCTTCTGCCCCATCTGCAACACTGTCACCAGCCCAACTTGTTCTGCTACTCCTGCCAACCCTGGACCCCTCCTGAGCAGCAAGTAGGCACTGCGCCTGTCCCAGCTTCCACCTTGGTCTTAGCTCATGCTGCCCGGTCCAGATGCACCAGTCCCAAGTCCCAAAACCGCCCATGCAGTGGCCACTGCATGATGTCATTTGGTGGCATGTGGTCTAACTTAAGCTACTTACCAACCATCAGGGCAGAATTTCCAATTTCAACCTGCAGTAACATCATGCCTGTGTGTACTGGCTGAATATCAGCCATGGCCCCATCTCTTCTGTGTAGTTCTGCAAATCTCAAGGCCTTCTCTCATATTTATGTTAGAACAAGCCCATGAATGCCGTTTTCTTCTATCTCATGATCCCTACCATTTTTTCTTCTGTTTCTCACCTCCATAAAATGGCTCCCATGTTGATGCATTGATTCCTGGAAGGAGCTTCTGTTTTGCTTTGCCTCTTAACATCACTCAAGTGATGCTGCCCTGGCTGATACTCTGTTTCTGAGCTGAAGCAGGAAAAAATCCCCTCCGTTGGCCTGAGTGGCCCGTGATCTCCAGCCCAAGGCTGCCTCATGCTCTTTGTGACTTACTCCTTGCTATAATCCAGAGTCTGTGGATGATCACATCAGAAAACACCATCAGTTTACTGTTGCCTCCCACTGCTCACCATCGTCTGAATTAAGACTGCACATTCTGGCTCTTTGCCTCGGGTAATTTTTTTTCCCAATAACTTGGGAGCTTTGATTCCTAGTGGCTTAGGAGAGTTGTTCTCCACACAGCTGGGCACAAGAGGCAGCCAGTTGAGTGGGACCAAGGCATGAAGGCTGAAAACCTCGCAGGTGACTTGGATCTGCATCCCAGGTTGAGAATCTCCAGTTTAGGAGTCTCTTTTGAGTCCTAAAGGAAATACTCAATTTCCCCCATCTGTCAGGCCCCTGCTACATCTACCAACATGGGCAATGGTATTAGTTCTTAAGAAGTTCATATACAGCTTAGATTGTTGCTCAGAGACTCCTGCCACTCTGTGAACAACCACCCTTATGGATACTGACGCACAATTTCCTTTGGGTTGATCTCATAAGTTGCATTTCCAAAAAAAAAAAGAAAGAAAGAAAGAAAGAAAGAAAGAAAATAATAAGACCTCGGCATCATAAGGAAACCACTTGTAGTTGCTCCATTTCCTGGAGCCTACAGCTGGCAAAATGCCTGGGACAAGATGTATTCAATTCAAGGCAAAGCAGAGTTGTTAGAAGAAGCAGATGGCCCACCTAAGGTGAAAAAATTACTTTCTTGTGAGGATAGGCGGGGCAGTTTATTCACCTCTTCCTCTAGGAAGGTGAGAACGTGTGGAGACAAAATAAATAAAACACATTACAAGCTCCTTCCACAGATGCACAGAACAATTGGTGCTGCACATGGCTACAGGAGGCATCTTCCAGCCTCCAGAAGGGCTGTAGGAGCTTGTCATGCATGCATTAAAGTGTCCCCAGAACTCAAAAACCATTCCATCAGAGGAGCTAGTAAGAACCAACGAGTCACTGACAACAGGAACCATCAGTTACCGTCTCTGAGAGCTGGTAATAAACAGCAACAAAGATTGGGGATAGTTACGATGAGCCAGGTAAAAAGGGTCAGGAAAATGACTGAATAGATTACAAGGCAGCAGGAACTGTGATCCATCTGAAGAAAAAGGGGAATCGTGTGAGCGGAGGTGTGGCAGCTAGATAATCTGCACATATTGAGGTGAGGGGAGGCCAGGCAGTGAGAATTTGTTGTGATTCTCTAACACTTTCCAGAGGAGAGAGACACGTTTCTTGGTAGCTACTCCTGTTCAGATAATCTAGAAAGTACATTTCATTCAGAAGTCTTCTCCAGTATCTGGATGCTGCACCCCTTAAGGTTATGAAATGTTTTTGCTCTGAATCCTTGTTCACAAGCAACAGTCTGATCATGAATTTGGTCTCCCAGGTACCTTGATAATGGGCAGAATGTGTCCAAGATTGAGGAAACAAGTTTGGAGATCCTTGGAAAGGCTTATTCTGTACCTGTTACAAATAAATAAATGTGGGTTTTGTTTGAGAGTTTGGTTAGCACAGGTCAGTTTCAACCTAATCACCCAGCGACACAGACAAAATCCTCTCTTGAGACCTGCATGGCTGAGGGTCAGACCCCAGAACACTATGGCCACTCCTCTGTATTGCCATCCTGTGAGGCTCCACTGGAGCAGCCTCGGCCTTCTTCCCTGACATTTGTGTCTGTTTAAATTTCACACAGTCAGTCCAGAAAGTCATCTCCCCACCAGTTTCTTTAAAATCAACAGAGGCTACTTCTAAGTAATGTTTTCTGTAATGCATTCTGGAGTCTCATAGCCCTGAACCTTAGGAAACAAGTTGCATCTCACACTCTATAATCATATACCCAAGTAGCAAACTTTCAGCTTCCTGCAGTGGTCCCTGCTGTCTTCTTTATCCTGATGAGGTGAGTCTTGGTGAGGCCACATGGTGACATACAGGGGATCCTTAAGCAAGGAGTGGGAAGGGAAAGGTTATGCTGCCACGCACAGCTCCAACCCCGAGTCCTCAGGCCCCATGATCATGTCGTTTGAATGGAGGGTGGCTTGGGTTAAATGAAGAAAGGGGTGGGTGTTCTCATCTACAAGAGCAGAACTAGAAGGGTGCTTCTTGTCAGCTGTGTTCACAGCAGCTGTGGCTGGGTGCACAGCTTTCCCCATTTTTCCACTGTTGAAAAGAGTGTGTGCTTGTGTGGCTGGTGCTGGCATTCTCATCCCTGACTCTTGTAAAGGTACCACATCATCGCTTCAAGCACTCTCTCTCAGTTTTCTCCTCCCTAGGGTGAGAATAGTTGACATTGTGCACTCCTTGGTGGGCACTACGCACTTGCTTGCTAGAGGACACTTCTTCACTGGTATTTTGGTAGCAAGTAGCCCTCTCCTGTCTCCAGAATAAAAGGGAAGCAGCAGTGACCCAGCTCTGGAAATTATCCACCAAGTTCACATTCCATATATTGCCCTATATCCCTTGAAAACAGCAAATTTATATGCAAAATAAAAACATTAATATTACATATTAATTTCTTCTTCCCCCTGTTTGGAGAGTTGGCAGAAGGACTAATAAAGATGACTAGTGTGAATAGTCTCTCAAAATAGTCATTTCATAAATTGAATAGGAGATGCATTCACTGCAGCTGAGATTTATGAAGGTTCGGTGAGGTGGCAAAACAGGGTTTGCAATTCAGGATTTTATTGCCCTTAGGGCTGTGGCTAATCTGTTGTGAAGCAAGGTTTCAGTTGGGTAAAGATTGAGTAACTAGAACAGAGATGCATTGTGTAACCCCTGTTTCCTTTTTATTTCTTGCGGACCAGTGAATATCCTAAGTCCCAAACTGTATGCCAGCTTAGTAGCTTTAATTTTTGAGTGTTTTGTATCATGACAGCTCAGCATTTCTTGCAAAAAGTGGTCATAGATAACCATGGCCATTATATCAGTCTCTGTGCTGATGCTGAATTTGTCTGACAGACTCACACAAGGGCCTCTAAATAACCTTTTTAAAGGGAAAGAGAATCGGCATTTACCAATTACTTATTCTGTTGCCAAACGACCTTTATTTCTCATGGCAAATCTGTGACATTGGTATTACAGGTATTTCACCTTTGTTCTGGATAGGATTGAGGCTCAGAGAAATTAAATAGCTTGCTCAAGTTACTTAATTAAGAACCTTAGAAGCCTAAAACAAACATGATCTCTTCTGGTCAGTTTTATACAGGAGAAGTGAGGTTTCAGGATTTAAACCAGGCCTTTCTGCCTCAAATCTATTGCTCCTTCCACTGTGCTGTGTGGCTGCATGCACACCAGGGTTGGAGAAATGCCATAGGGTTTTAAAGCACCACCAATAAAATCATACGAAAGAAAACATATTTTGAAAAAAAAGGCTGATTGTCATATTGAAGCGCCCCACCGGCAAGTCTCTAGGAGGCCCCAGTAAGACCAGTGTGTGTGCCCTGGGGTGTTTTGAGTACCTAGGAGGGCAGGGGACAGCAGTCTCCCCTCCCGCAGTGTAGATGAGCCGGGCAGGGATAGCAGCAATGCTGCCCCCGAAGTATCTGCCAACTTCCAGTCAGTGGCCCTAACGTTTTCCTAGGTATCTGAGTGTCATCTTTTACAATGTCTTATCCTGCTCAAAGCCTCCAACATTTGCCATTTGGAAGAGATTATGTCCCGACAACGCCTTTCTCATTTCCATGCTCACCCCCAAAGCACAGCTTAGACGCCTGTGCGGGGATCCTGTCTGCCGTAAGAGCCTCCCAAACGATGCTCCCCGCTGCCAGCCACTCCTTGCGCCCATCTTGTGGCTGCTAGATATATCGTCCTACAGCACAGCTCTGATGATCTCATACCTCTGTTCAAGAGGAAGGAAGTTTCCAGATTTCAAAGTCCAGTGCCAGGTGTGGTGGCGCGCCTGTGGTCCGGGTGACTGAGGAGGCTGAGGTGGGAGGATCGCTTAAGCCCAGGAGCTGCAGGCTGCAGGGATCTATGATTGCGTCACTGCACTCCAGCCTGGGCAACAGAGTGGGACCCCATCTCTTAAAAATAATCAAAATAAATTATTTTAATTGTAAAAGTCTGAAACCAAATTTCAAAGTCAAACCTAGAAAGCGTCTAGTGCCATCCCCAGGCTCCTGGGGCCCTCTCTCCCTTAGAGTGACGGCCTAGGACTAGAGTTCTTGGTTTGTTTTTGGAAGCCATTTCCTTAGAGTGATGGTTTCTGAGGAACCATCAGCTGCAAGAGTTCTGCTTTATAAGAATATACACATAAGAAGAAAATATAAATAGCCTAGAACTCTCCAGATTTCATCACATCATCACAGCCCCCCACACACAATCACATCACACACCACACACACACCACACCACACACACAATCACATCATCATACACAACACACAAAATCATATCATCACACACAACACACACACACACACACACACACACACACACACACACACACACACAGCCTATGTCTTTTTCCATTTAGTTGTTATCTAGCGCCACCTGGTGTTAAAACTAAACAGCACCTCTGGAGAAAAAACAAGAATCTACAGGCATGTTTTATTCCAAATTGAGGATCTTTAGCACAGGAAGGAACTTTAGAGATCATTTAGACAGCTGCCTCATTTTATAGATTAGGAATATATGCAGAATTTAGAAACAGAATTGAATCCATAGTTCTTGAATTCCAGGCTCCTCAAGTTTCCAGCATGCCCCAGTTGCCTCCTAAGCCTCCAAAGGAATTGGGCTAGAGTGATACCACCTTTGGAAAAAGACAAAAAAAGAATACTAGCATTTAATGATCCTTTATTATAAGCCAGTTATTGTGCTAAATGCATTTACAAACATGACCTCATGATCTCATCTGTTCTTCATAGTCTCCCTCCCTCCCCTCCCCCTTCCTTCCTTCCTTCCTTCCTTCCTTCCTTCCTTTTTATCAGAGAGGAGGTCATGCTCTGTCATCCAGGCTGGAGTGCTGTGGTGTGATCAGAGCTCACTGCAGCCTTCAACTCCTGGGCTTAAGTCTTGATCCTCCCACCACCTCAGCCCCACAAGTAGCTGGGACTACAGGTGTGAGCCACTGCAGTAGGGTGATCTTATTCTTGTTCCACAGATGAACAAAGTAAAATTCAGAGAACTGCAACATACCTTGGACCTGCAAATACTTTTATGTCTGTGTTTCTATAAGGGCCTGTTCATTCTGGTTGTCTCAGTGGTCAGTGTGGATTGCCACATGAATAATTTGGTGGTGGCTTAAAAAACAAATATTTACTTCTTGCTCATGTTTCATGAGAGCTGCAGGTTGACTGTGGGTCAGCTGTAAGTCTGATGGGCGCAACTTGGCTGGATGAGTAATTTGGTGGTGGCAATTGGCATAGACCCTGTAAAATGAAAGATAATGAGGAGCTCAATAAAGTCATATTATATTATTTGTTCACAATTATTCATTCCTTCCTTGCCTTTACCATACTTCTGTGCAGACAGAATACATTGCCCTCCCTGCATTGACCTTGGACTTGGCCACTTTCTTTGGTTAATAAAATGTGTGTGGACTTGATGTTTGCTGCCTGAGCAGAAGCTTTCAGTGGTGTGGTTTGGTGAGACCTACTTCAGCCTTGAACTCCCCCATGAGAACAGCACACCTTAGAGAGTTGTTCTTCCTTCAGTCCTTGCTCCGGGAGGAGACAATACTTGTGGCTGAGTCGAATCCAGCAGAGCTGAGCCCAACAGTGTCACAGTTGACCCACAGTCAACCTGCAGCCTTCATGAAACATAAGCAAGAAATAAATAGTTTGTAAAGCCATTGAGAATTTGGTGTTGTTTGTTGCTGCACCAAAAGCTGACCAGTACGGAGTTTGAACACAAGTCTGGTTGACTCCAAAACCTTTTTAGAAACTCTCTGTGAAAATGGACACTACTTCCAGGATGATGTCTAATATGGTTTGGCTCTGTTATCCCCACCCAAATCTCATGTCAAATTGTATTCTTCAGTGTTGCAGGAGGGACCAGGTGGGAAGTGATTGGATCACCGGGGGGTTGACTTCCCCTTTGCTGTTCTCGTGATAGTGAGTTCTCATGAGATCTGGTTGTTTAAAAGAGTGTAGTACTTCCACCTTCACTCTCTTTTTTTCTTCTCTGGCCATATAAGACATGCCTGCTTCCCCTTCACCTTCTGCCATAATTGTAAGTTTCCTGAGGCCTCCTAGTCATGCTTCCTGTATAGTCTGTGGAGCTGTGACTCAATCAAACCTCTTTTCTTAATAAATTTCCCAGTCCTAGGTAGCTCCTTGTAACGATTCGAGAACAGACTAATACAGTATCTAATTTAACTAATTTGAGAACCTACTAGTGTTAGTAGTTGCTGAGGCTCTTACCTCCTTCAAGGCTTTGCTGAATTCCACTCTCTCACTGATACTTATCCTGAGCACCTAATTTAATTCTGCCACCTACTTCTCCAGCTCTACCTCTTCTGTCTTTTTTTTTTTTTTTTTTTTTTTCTGTTCATAAGTTTATTGTCTTTATCTGAAAAATCCTCATAGAAAACTCTTTGGTTTAGCTCTTGGCAGCCCGCTCCTGAGCTCTGAGGGAGCTTGCCTTCTTTTGAGCTACCCAATCTTTCTTCTGAGTAAGGGACATTTTGGGGCGGTTCCACTTCTTCTTTTTAATTTCTTTCTTGTGCTTTTTTTCAGAGACTGGATTCTCTTGTATAGCAGCATGAGCTTTCTTTTACACCTCCTCCATCATGTCTGCAGTTACGCTGTTCTTTATGCATTGAGAGAACTGTTTTTTGTAAGCATCTTCATCTTCTTCCATTAAGTGGCGCATGTCATCTGCAACACTCTGGCCCATGATGCGCTTCCGGTGTACTTCTGCATTAAATTCCTGGCTTTCAGAATCATAACCAAGGAATCGTTTGGTACTGTGAGGGATAGACAAACCTCCATCCATAGCTCCCTTCAGGGTGCCAAAAACTTTATTGCCAGTGGTATTCTGGCAAGGCCTGCATCCAAATAGCAGGTAAAGGCACCTGACTGATCATCAATGCTTTCCACATTGTATTCATCGCCAGTCACCTCCACTTGGCTTTCATAGATCTTGTCCATGCCAAACCTATTGAGAAGCCTGCGGGCCAGTAGCAGGCCAGTACAATACGCTGCAGCATAATTTGTCAGGCCAACCTTCACACCATACTTTGGCAGTGCGTGTGCATATGCTGAGCAGACTATCATATTCCCCTCTGTACGGGCATAAGCAATCTAACAAATGATAGCTCTATCATCCTGTATTTGGGTGTGTTATATTTATTTTTATACTGTATCACCAAGCATTTCTGAGCATACTAATCAGTTTTACCCTCTCATCATCTTCTAAATTTCACTTGAAGATGTAGGCCTTAATAAAGTAGGCCTTATTCTTAACAAGTGGAATAAACCCCATCCTGCAGAACAGAGACCACGTCCGTGGCTCGACAGAGACCTGCAGGCCTGGCACTAGTGGGGGAAAGGGGCCTCTTCTGTACTTTTGATTCCCTTTACCTTGACCTACTTTTTTCTACTTTTGAAAGCACCTATTGCCTTCTAAAATACTCTACAATGAACTTACTTATAATGTTTATAGTTTAAATGTCTCCCTTGCTGAATTTTAAGAGGGAAAGGGTCTTGTGTGTTTTGTTTACTGCAATACTTTAAACAATGCTTGGCACATAGTAGGGGCTGAAAAATATTTTTTTAATAAATGAAAACACGTCTGAAAGAATGGCAGCTGTTGTATTTTGGTAACATGACCAGTAGAGGTCATAGATGAGTTCTTTAATTATCTTGGAGCTACAACTACTGTGTCTGTGTATGCAAGGATCTATTCATTCTAGATGTCTAGGTGATCAGTGTGGATTACTACACGAACAATTTGGTGGTAGTGATTAGCGTCGATCATGAAAACTTTTGAAAGGTACACATTAATGATGCCTCAGATGGGCTTCCCCTTCATATATGACCTAGTCTTGGGAGCCAAGCAGAGAAAAAAAAAAGAAAAGCAAATAGAAAATAGGATGCAAGTTAGGGCAGAAAGTGTTGGCTTCAAGGTTATGTCTGTCTGTATAAATTGCTTGTACATGGAAGTTAAATTTAAATAATCAGAGAAGATAGTAAAATGCTTATTTTCAATCGCAAGCTATTTGTTTAGATTAGTAATACCTCCTCCCCAAAGTCTGCGTGAGTGTGTGAGCTGGGGCAGAGGAGGAGTATATACTGATAAAGCCTATTAATACCAGGACACTTGACTGGCTTTTTCTTCTTCCCTTTTACCACAGAAAAACAACAAACCACAAATCACAAGCCATGATTCGGCCTGAGTGTGGTTTATTCTCTCTGGCTTGATTGCTCGTGCCTAAATGTCACAGTACGTAACCACAGATATGGAGGTATAAAGGAATGATGACTCTGGATCAGAAGCGAATACTTTCCTTTTGATTGCATATGGGTTTTGATAGATTGATTAGTTCAAGGGTAAACATTTGAGAAGGAAGAAAATGTACTTTATTGATTGTCCCCCACGCATCAGGCACTGTGATAGCTACTTTCCCATGTCATCTCACTCCCTGAAGTGAACAGTGTCAAAGATAGCATCTAGAACTTAGTAGAAGCTCAATAAATTGTCAAATGAGTCAGTGAACAGTAAATGACTCTTAGGAAGAAGCATCTGTTTCTCTGTTTTGTTTTGGTTTGTTTGAGCGGGGGGCTGATTTGTTATGTTTTTTATGTTTATGTTTAGTGTTTTTTATTCATTACAGGCATCCATCTCCTGGGTCTGAAAAGTAAATAGAATGTGCTCCCTGTCACGAGCCCCCGAAGGGTGGGCCTGGATGGAGAGCTAGGATGAGGAGATGCTAATTCTGGTCCTGCTCTGAAAATGAACCATTCCCTTTGATTATATATGATAAATCATTACATAATTCCTACCTTTTCTACTTCACAACATGTCGTGAGATAAATGTAAGATGCCATATTTGGAAGGTTATTGAGTTTTTAAATGGGAACGTTAGTGAATAAATGGGAATTTAATGAAAAGTTTTCCATGAGGCCCATTGTGGGGGAAGTAAGACTAAAGCACAAACTCCACCCTGTATCACACATTGCTAGCCTTGTATAAATGCATGGATGAACAAAACAGAACAATAATCTCAATATCACACACTACTTGCTCGATGCTGCCTTAATGGAGGATGTGGATTTCCAGACTGAGGAACTCCATTGTGTTGGAATATCAGAGATAATGTTTTTTTTGAGCTTGGGGTTGGTAAAGGGCCAGAGACCTTAGTTCTTACACTATTCTGAGGCTTGTCGCCAGATAAATGCAGGGGTAGATTCTCTTATGGGATGACGTAGAAAGAGAATATGCCAACTTTACAAAAATGTCTTTAGTATGGGGCGGGTAGGGTGGGAGGATGTGGAAGATCACTGTTGGAAGACTTTCCTCTAAAAGTTTATGGAAGTTCATTCTCACACTAACAGAAGTAAAATAGGATTTTTTTTCTTCCTCTCTTTTTCTTTTCTTCCTCGATAGCACTTAGAGCTTTCGTTGGCTGTCAGACACGTAGTATATAAATTGCAAGCATGATCATCACACAGAATGTAAATATGCCAAGTGCACATGAACAAATTAGAGGTTTCTTAGTCAAATCCAAGCAAATATGTACCTGATAATGACTTTGGCCGAAACATGTTTTTATATTTTATAGTATGTTCACATTTGCCAGTGGTTAGCAAAGATTAAGCTTGCCAAACTTTAATATGGTACAAATGCCATGTTCAAGGCAAAGTAAGTGGACTATTATAGGATCTGGCAAATCAAAAACATTATCAACAGCTGTGGTTTCCAAAGGTTTTGTGAGACTGGAATAATAAAGTTGTGTGCATTTTAAGTGGTCATTAATTTTCCCAGTGCTTTTTAAAAATATAACTTATGATCATGAGTAGCTTCACATGGTGTAATAGTTATAATCAACTTTTGATTAGATGTGATAATGGCCAGAAGGCAAAAATTAATTAAGTCCCTAATTATTTAATTAAGGATTTATAGAGTGGCTTCAATATTCAGGGTCATGTATTTTGTACTAATTGTAGCCACTCACTTCACATCCCTTCCCATCCTTACTTTTACCAGAATTGTAATAAGTGTTCATTCAAATTTCATCGATTTCCATTGATCCTTACTGGTGGACACATCTTTAGATTATCCTTCAAAGGAAGGATAATGAAGAAAAACAGTGATTCTAAATTGCTAAACAAGAGACTTTTGTATAGTGGAGTTTAGTAGTATGATTCTATCTGATGCTAAAAACCATTTGAAAAGGGACAGAAGATTAACATTTTGTCTAATCTGG